TTGTCTGCCTCAACCAATGTGTCGATCTCTATATGTCTTTCTTTGTCTTTTAAATAAAGAGTGTGGACTTCAGTCACCAGGCTACTGCACCAGATTCTAACTGCTAAGCCATCACACCAGAACCCTCCTCTGACATTTTTCAGATATTTACTAGCATTTCTATGTATGCACACTCAATTCTAATGTCAGCATACACTAGATATTAATGTCAAATATTTAAACAGTTGCAGTTGTATCTTAAAAAGTATAGACAGTTATATAAGTAAAACTTACAAGGCTCATTTTTCAACAAGATGAAGCCTTTAAGTATTTTACCCCAGCTTTTTCTTTCCATTGCATGATAGCCATACTTCTGTAGGACAAAATGTTCTACAAGCTATTCTCTTCCTTAATAATCTGCTAATTTTCTTGATTTACATTTTGAAACAATCATATAAGGCTCCAAATGGAAACATTCTCTAAATAAAAGCATACCAAGTTTTAAATGCAATTGCTTTAAGCAATTTTTAAGCATTTCTTTCAATTTGTGGAAACACATTTTAACACAACCTGCCTTAAAACTGGGAATGAGAAGTTTTTCAAATAACCTTATTCTAGCTGATTTGGGAATCCTCCCTCCTCAAAAGAAGGCAGATAAGAATCACAGTGGGGACCTGAAGGAATCCAGCGTTCTAAATTCCTTACAAAGGGCAGACTCCTAGCATGCTCCTCCTTTTCCATGGCTGGTAGGCCTGGAGCTTCTACTTAGCTTCTGTTTATTTGAAGTCAAGAGAGGCGAAAAACTTCAATTTGGCTGTTGTCTTAAGAGAGTACCTAGGAATTTATTAGTTATCAATAAGATGAAAATTAGTGTAAAGGTGATGTTAAAATACAGTTGTTCTTCAATACGAATCAGATTTCAATTCCATTTTCTTAAAGGCAAAATTCAGAAATTATACATGTGACAACCAATTACACTATACATTTCAAAAGAATTAGTTGTTTTCCTGTAAGGCAAAATCTCACATACTTCTTTGTAAATAAGAACACAAATAATTTACAATCAGGGCCAATTTCATGATTAGGAAACATTTTGACCAATGAACATAAAAGCTCATTTACTTTAACAGCTTATAGGATGCAACAAATTTAACAAAATTTTATAATATTGTGAGATTATAATCAAAATTATTTTAAATGACAATTATATTATCCAAATTCTGTCTCAATCTTTGAGAGTTCTAGGGATCCTACAACTTTCAAAGTCTTGAGACCTGGTTTCAAACTCTGAAGAATTTAGAAGTGTAAATTAGTTAAAGAAAAAGTACATTTGACATTTAACTGAACATGTTAACGGATACTGTATTTTAGACCTGATCAGTGCCAGGACAACACTGTAAATTGAAGACTAAGCAGCAAGAAAACAGTATATGAACTTTTCCTCAGAGGAGAAGGTGAGTCTGGTCTGGCCAAGTCCTGTTACATAGGTTAGACCTCATTAAAATTTTTTATCAGGAGACAGAAAAAGGGGTTAGTCATGATCCATCCCATCTCGTCTGTCAGTCAGGCATACACGCACCCAATTCTCAACAAGAACAATAACTTAACAATTCATGACAAATATATAACTGGAAAAAGAGTATTAAAACAAAGTCTAGTTTTTCTCCAGACTAAAATAGAACACCAACAATAATGAATAAATAAACATATGCACAATCCCAACACATCAGAACAGAGAGACATTTAACTCTCAAACATTTTGCACCTTCCAAATTCTTCTTTGACATATTTTAACCTGGAAATGTTTTATAAAGCAAGTCATAGGTTCATCTCATGCTTTGAGTTAAATTAACAGTGGATTTGGACCAGTCTATATCAGATCGCATATGCACATATATATTATATTACACATATATAATATATAGTATATATTATATTGCATGTATATATTATATAGTATATAGTATATAATTATATATTGCATAGTATATATATTATATAGTATATAGTTAGATTATATAATATATAGTATATATTATATTACATATATAATATATATATATATAAATCTTAAATCAAATTGCAGAATATGTTTCCTTTTCTTTTTTTTTTTTTTTTCTGGTTCTTATGGATGTTAAATCGCTTATTTCTTAGTCTGCCCCTCTCAGCTTGGGGTGAGGGCTATGAGGTAAAGTTAGAGAAATTTAGATACTGAGGGTGACAGTGTGGTTAAGTCAAGAAAAACTGGAAAAGCAGGTTAGAACAAAGGTTAAAATGGTTACAATGGAGAGGACATCTCTGTGTACTATCCCATGAGGAGAGCAAATGGAGACCTTCAGAGAGAGGAGGACGGGTCTGTCCTTGCAGCAAAGTTTGGGCCTCGATCATGAGGGATGATAGGATTATCATTCAATCTTATGTATGCCTGAGCTAATTCTGGGAGCAAATGTACAACATAAAGGATATCAGAGAATAGATTAAAAAAAATTCTTTCACTTTTGAGAGAAGTTTTGCTAAAACTACAGCAAATAGTTCCTAACACTCTGTTGATCCTTGACATGGGTAGGTCAAAATAGGTCTTATAGACATGATCAGATAGAAAAACCTCTGCTGTAGCCCCTTCTCTTCCTCCATCTTCATGATTTGATGGTACAAGGCAGGATTCTCCCATTCCAAGAGATTGAAGAAGGTGACTCACTTCTATGGCCCATAATGGCAGTCAATCGTGCCGAGATAATCTACAAGGGAGGCTTGCCAGCCTGTTGCTCTTTCTTCAAACTCATTCATAATTACTCATTCAATCAGGGGCAACAGGCTTTGCTGTCTCAAAGTCTTAACACCTAAGGGCTAGCTCTTTGACATCCTGAATTAGATCTGCCAGTTGATCAAGACAAATATAAACTCTGGGCGCCCCTCCAATGCATAAATGTACCCACTGGAAGGGACTATCCTCCCGGACAAGGGTAGCTATAAGCACGGGAGAATTTGAAAATGTCCACAGTTGTAACTCTTTCTTAGGGCAATAATGAACAAGTAGCCTTGCCTAGGGCCTTTTGAGTCTCCTGTAAGGCTTGTACATGAGGGAAACTCGTCTCCTAGCATTTTGCCTTTTCAAATAATGGCAGTAATTGCCCTGTAGACATGGGTAGTCAAGGGCATAGCCAATGACCTCTCCAAGAAGCTTTTGAAATTCTACTGGTGAATATTGTTCCTTAACGCTTAGCTGGGATTTCAAGGGGGAGGCCTTTTAAAAACATAATTCTGTCCCTAAAATTGTAGAAAGAGGGGGGTTATTTGCACCTTCTCTGAGGAGACATTCATGTTAGCTCTGTCTAAAAGCTCTTTTACCTTTTCCCAGACTACTTGCAATTCCTGAGTTGTACGGGCTCCCAAAATATTATTCAAACTGCCGGGATACAGGGTTGTTGAGAAAGACCCTAAAGACTAGTCTCCGCCCAGGGTGAGTGAGGCTCATTTCTGCCACAGCTTTCTCAGGTCCCCTGCATTCCAGGGATATCACACTGCCACTGGGCAGTTCCCTTCAGGGTTAACAACAATGGAAAATCCTGAACTGGCTGGTGGAGCCCCACCAGAAGGCTTGCACCTGGAGCTCTGTGCTCTGGACTCCCCTTGACCTTGGGGGTGGGTTCCTGCCCTCTAAACTTCCCAGAAGCTCTTGTTGGGGTGGCTGAGGTGGGCAGGACCAGTGTTTTGGGCATCAGTTTTGCTCTTTTTCCATTCCCAAGTATCACGTACAAATAAATTAACCAATGTTACCCACAGTGCCAATGTGACCACAGTCCCTCAGGCCTTGACTGCCTAACCATCTGAGATTTAAAACCCTCAGGACTTTAGCATGTATTTTAGCACCCTAAGTGTGGGATCATCAATCCCCCCACCTTTATTGCCCATGGCTAAAGAAAGACAGCAGGGAGGAGAGTGCTCAGAATATCCAGTCAGGCTGTTGGGCCCAGGCAATCCAATACAGAGTTCCAGGTGACACCGAACCTTTGCCTCAGCCAGAAATGGTTAGTCCTCAGACAGGATCACCCCAGAGCCAAGCATCCACAGCTGTCCCTAAAGCAGAAGATGAGAGATAAGAGAGGCACTAGGATACCCAGTCGGGTTGTCTGGTCCAGGAGATCCCCAGCAGAGTTTTAGGTAATGCCAGAGTGTTGCCTTGGGCAGAAATTGTCAGTTCTCAAACAGGTTCACCCTAGATTCAGGCATCCATGGCCATCTCTCACTGCCACAGAAGCGAGAATAGGAAAGAAGCCAATTGGGCACCTAACACCTCCCTTCCCTTACAACCTCTCAGGGGATTTGACCATAGCTATACCACGGTTGGGTGCTGCCCATGATTGTACAGAGCTGTGGGGTGCCTAGGGTCACTTCTGCAGGATACACTCCTGTTTGAGAGGAGGAATACTGTACCTTAGGTCGCCTTCTTTTCTTTGAGACTCACCTGAAGTTCCACCACTTCCCTGACAATGTGCTTCTCTGGTAAGACACTGCTCTGAAGCAATTTACAGCCATTCCTTGCTTCTCTTTCAAAGCCACGCAGTGAGGGGGTGAGAAGACACAGCCTTCATGATCCATGCTGGGTGCATGTTCTGCAGGGTCTCCCCCACAGATTCCTTTAGTACCTTGTTCCTGGAGGGGATGAACCTGCTGCCCACAATCCAGTCCCCTGGCCTGTGAAAGGCAAAGGAAAGGACAGGGCTTCTGTCTAAGCAGTGCCGATTTATAGGGGAAATTCAATTCCCTATATAGGGTAAGGGATAACATTAGGCCTGGAATTTGGGGAAGTCCAGGAGGGGAGAAACTAGGAATCATTACTAGGAGAATGACTGTAGAAGCCACCTCCCATAATCCAATGGTGTGTGGGTGAGATGGCCATGGTTGATCAGCATTTCCTTGAAGCTACTTGACTCCTGTCCTGATTCATACTCAGGGTTCTCTCTTGGCCACCATCTTGCCCACTAGTCCCTGGAGTGTTAGTCGCATTCTTATTGACTTAGTGACCTCTTTACCCCGAGCACCACAGAGGATGATGATTACCTGTGTAAGTGACCCTTTAGCACATCCACAAAGAGAAATCCTATAGACTGAAATCAAATTCCACTTGTAATTTTGTCTTCTATCATTCTGTCGTCTGGTAAGTTTGGTTGCAAGATCGAGGGTGAGTGATGTGCGTAGTTGGCTGCTTCTGTTGCTCTCTCTATACCCAGTACTGTTTGGTATCCTTTCCTAATCCCTTCCACTCTCATCTCCAGATTGTGAGAAGTGTCAGAAGTTCTTCCTGAAAAGCTGTGCTGCTCATGGACCCCCAGTGTTCCTAAAGGACAACCCAGTGAATAAGGGACATCCTAGTCGTGCTCTCCTCAGTGTGCCCACTGGACTTAGAATTGGCCCATCCAGCATTCCTGAGGCTGGGCTTGGAGTGTTTAATGAAGCATCTGATCTGCCACTGGGGTTGCACTTTGGTCCTTTTGAGGGCAAGATCACAGAAGTGAAACAGGAATCCAACAGAGGGTACAGCTGGCAGGTAAGAAGTACCTTTGCAGTCTGGTGGCTTTCCACCTGCCTGCTGTGAGTTTGGTCTATTTGTCCGGTTCATGTGTCCTTCTACACTTTATGGCATGAGTGAAGCCAACATGATTACATCACAGAATCCTTACTGAAGATTAGCATTGATGAGATCACTGGGCTGTAAAAGCAAAGCAGTTCGATCTCAGCTGTGGGCTTCTACTGTAAGGAAACAAATCAGATTAGGTTTATACTAACACTATGTTATGTCTCAAGATGTGGTTGGACTCATGGGATGTCATGGAACATGATGGTAGTTGAGTTAATAATTCTGCTGAACTATTCCCTTTCCAGAAACATATTAACTGATTTTTCTGAATCTCAAATAGCCAAGAGGAGAAACAGCTATGAGTACATGGATGGTAAGGATACTTCTTTGGCCAACTGGATGAGGTAAGAGCCATGCTTTTTACATGTGGAGATGACATTTATCTCTAAGACAAGATCACTGTCCTTTCTCCTCTACTTTCCTCAATGACTTTTACATGATATGTCCTCTTTGATGTCTATTTGAATGACCTTTGAATACCATGACCGGTTTGTAAAAGCACATTCTCTATAAATACTATTTTTTATCATAACATAAAATAATATGTTGAATAAATGGACATGAAAATGGGCCTTGATGAATCTAGATCAACTGGGGCATTGACTCACTCTCTCTATAATTATCATTGGTTATGCCTTTCCTGCATCAAAAATATCATAATACATGGACATTGCATTAAATTGGTGTCCTGACAGCAAAGGTTTTTAGTCTTTTGAAAATTATACACTGTCCAAACAACTTGATACAGAAGGCCTTTAATTTATGAGACATAAACCATACCAGGCACAGTGGAAAAAAACAAAAAGAGAGAAGAGAGCCAGGTTCTGGGACAAGCATTGTCATGCAGTGGGCTAATGTAAGGACTGGTGTGCCTACATTACAATTACCGGTTACCCTACTGCCAAACCAGTTGCTTCCCCATGCACCCTGAGGACCTTCAGAGGATGTCCTCATGCTTTGTCTTTGGCGCCAACTTAGAAGACCTGGTTGAAGCTACTGCCTGACACTGTGTCCTTTTTATCTCTCCACTCCATGCTTTTTCTTGGTATCTCTGTCTTCTGCCCCTTCTCTTCTTTGTGTCTCTGCCACTCAAATAGAAAATAATCATAATAATCTTTACCAACTAAACAAAACAAAACTGGAGATGTGGATGAGAGAAGGAAGCTGCATCTTGATAATTGTTTCTGTGAGCAGTTCTGGGAGAGGCTAAAATAACTCCCAGGATGCAGGAGAAAGATCCAAGAGAAAGGACCTCAAAGAAATGCCTTTGGAAAATCTGAGTTGTGCAGCATGTGTGGTAGGCTAGAGTTAGCCAGTGTACATTAACCATATTGTGTGGCATAAAACTGAATGAAATTTGGGGTTTAGGGAAACTCTGTGTGCTTCATGGCCGGTCAAGGAGAAAGGTCGACTAGGGTTTTGAGGATGACTAGTGAGGAAAGGAAGTAGCAAAGCATGCTTGTCAGAACAAATACGGTATCTGCACATTGGATGTGGGACTTCATTGATCTCACGAGAGAGATACATGTTTGCAAGAGAGCTTTTACAGAATTGGGCTACAAGCAGGATAGAGGCTATCAGAGAACAGATGAGATTCAAGTGCAACAGTGTTGGGGGCACTGTCCTTTCCTGCCCTGTGATTGGTCCTTTGCCCTGATCGGTGTGCCTTGGTTTTCTTTAAGTTGATTGTTCAGGTTTGACAGATAAGCGGCGGGGGGGGCTTGGCGGGGGAGCGGCTGGAGTGTAATGGGCATAATGGACACAACGGAGTAAACGGACATAACGGAAGATTAGAATAAAAGCACCTGGGAGACTCTCTCAAGTGTCGGGTGATTTCTTCCGTGGGATGGGATGACCCCTGATATCTGGTACTGTGACTCGGATAGAAGATAACTGGCGCTGTGATTCAGATAGAAGTCAGCTGGTGAACGCCAGGAAGGTAAGCTGAGCAGATAGCTCAGGGAGCCACTTAGAGTGGGGAATTAGTTTACAACTGAGTTTTTTGCTCAGGGAGCCACAGCAGTGGGTGCCCATTTAAGCTGAGGTGTCAGGTTACCTCAGGGAGCTGCACATGCATGTCAAGTTCACGGGTTAGCGACGAGTCAAGTTCGCAGGGTATGGACCAGTCAAGTTAGTCAAGTTTGCGGGCTAACAAGGAGTCAATTTCGCAGGGTAGTGACCATTAAAGCTTAGGTCTAGCAACTATTCAAATTCATTCAGATACACTCACAATCGTGGTGAACGATTGTATTTACCGCCATTTAGGGTAGGGTTTACCGCCCATTCAGGTTCACTATTTAAGGACCATTCAGGTTCGTGGTTTAGCAAGCTCATTCAAGTTCGTGGTTAAGGATCAGTCAGACGATCGGTCAAGTTTGCAGGTAAGCAGTGATCAGAGGTGTGAGAAATATGGCCAATTTAACTTTTTCAGTGCACATGCAACCTTTATTGCAGAAACTGCTGACAGTGCAGTTGTTTTTGCAAACTGTACAGAGGATTGTGCTGTGGTTTCTGGAGGAGGATCTTTTGATCCTGCCACAATGGGAACACTTAGACAGAGACTTAGCTAGGGCAGAACAGCAGGAGCCCCTTCCTCCAGGAACAGTCAGGATCTGGACATTTATTAAGTCTTGCCTGACTGATGGCACTGATAAATTCAGAGGGCGTATACAGGAAGTTGAGAAAGACTTATGCAGCCGCAAAAAAAAAAAAAAAAAAAAAAAGGATGGTTTAAAGACCCTTAATGATTTCCAACACGTATTGGGGTATATTAATTGGATACGATCATATTTTTGTATATCTCATTGCCTTCAACCTTTGCAGCCTGGTGCATCCTCCGGTGTTATAAGACTGATAATGGACCTGCCTTTACAGCCAAAGCATTTGATAAATTTTGTTCTGAATTTGTGATTAAACACTCCACTGGCATCTCATATAATCCCACAGGCCAGGCTGTGGTAGAGCGTGCCCATGCAACTCTCAAATCATTATTAATAAAAAAAAAGGGGGAGTAGGAGCCACCCTATATCCCAAAAGTCCTAAACATCAAAAGGCTTTAGTTACTTATATTTTTAACTTTTTGATTCTGGATTTGGATAGCCATTCTGCTGCCGAACGCAACGCTGTTGGCGCAGGCCCCTGCAAAGATTGGGTGATGTGGAAGGATGTTTTAGCAAAACAATGGATGTGCTCGTATCCTGTCTTACGATGGTTGCGAGGAGCAGTTTCTGTTTTTCCGCAGGATTCTGATGGACCAGTGTGGGTGCCAGAACATTGGACACACGAGTGATAAGAAAGCCGGAGTAAGATGAACCTGTGGACGTGGTGGATGCTGATCAGCCTGATATTCATTCAGATCAGAGAGGAGACAGCCAGAATCTCCAGCTAAAACTGCACCATAAAAGGGGTGCAGCAAATATTGTCTCGCTGTCTAGGGCCTTGGAAATGGCCCCCAGAATGGACTGCTGTCGAAGTACTGTGACTCCTAAAAGAGTAGCACCTGATCTTGCTGTGACCAATTGATTTCCTACCTGTTCAAATTCTGCCTTTGTGGGGTATAACTATACATGTGGTAACCTTGTTCAATCTGTTTCTGCTAAGTCTTGGAATGTCTGGGTACTTTGCACTAGTAGGGGTGGGTGTTCAGATATATCAGCTTTTGCATTTATTGATAAGGTAGTTATAAGAAATTGTAAGTATAATAGTAATAGTTCTAGAATATGGGAAGAAAATGTTAAAGTTAATCGCAGTTGTGATGTTATCTATAATTCTATTTATGTATATGTACAAGCTCCATTTACGTTTATTGTTTCCATGAGTGCTAATGTTACCCTTTTGAATTGCTCTGTAGTTAAGTGAGGCCTTAACCAGTGTTGGAATGCCTTGGTACTGCGGTGCTGGTATGCATTCCACAAATTATTTCCATCATATTGCTACCTCCTGTGTGCTTAGTCTACCTGGAATGTGTGTCACTCCCTCTATTGTCACCAATGGTTCCTGAGCATTGAATTTGTCCAGAGAGTTATCCGCTATGCTATTCCCTAGTGGAAGCTGGTCCATATGATTTGATAATTTGAAATAGTAACTAACATCCCAAATTCTAGCCATAAATAGCAGCAAAGTAGAGATTGCCATGGTAGAGCAATGGACAAATTGGATACTAAAGGATCTTTCCTTTGCACACCAATGGGCCAGTATAGTAGCCCTGGGCCTTATCTTCTTAATTATCATTCTTTGGGGTCTGTGGATGCTTCATCCTTGAGCACAGCGTCAGCAGCAGTAACAGCAGCTGCTAATGCAAGCTGTACTTGCCCTTCACAACAGAGAATCTCCAGAAGTCTGGCTACCCAGAGATGGGTAAGTATTCGATATGGCTTCATCAACCTAAGACAGGTGCCACATTCCTAGCAACATGTTTAGCCAATGACAGGTAAAGGGAGCCCAAACTCAGAACACCTAAGACAGGCACGGTAACTTGCTTAATCAAACAAGAAGGGGGAGCTGTAGGGGGTACTAACCATTTCCTGCCCTGTGATTGGCCCTTTGCCCTGATTGGTGTGCCTTGGTTATCTTTAAGCTGATGCTCAGGTTTGACAGATAAGCGGGGGGCTTGGCGGGGGAGGGGCCTGAAGTGTAACGGGCATAACGGACACAACGGAGTAAACAGACACAATGAAAGATCAGAATAAAAGCGCCTGGGAGACTCTCTCAAGTGTCGGGGGATATCTTCCGCAGAACGGGAGGAACCCCAATATAACAGTGCATGGGAACTGTGCCCGGAATGATGAGGAGCAGAATTTGGTGGCCTTCCAATACCACAGATGGATATTTTACCACACCTGCCAAGTCATCAAACCAGGCTGTGAACTTCTAATATGGTATGGGGATGAGTATGGAAGGAAGCATGAGTATCAAAGGAAGCAGTGGAAAGAAAAAGAAGGAAAGAAAAAGGAAGAACTCACCACAGTGAGAGGTAAGTAGCACTGTTGCTTTTAAAATAAGTAAAGGAGTCACCTGGGGAATATTTGTCATTCAACTCTAAGGAGTCAAATGGAAAGTGGCAGCTGGAAAAGCCCAATTCAAATGTGATTTCAATTTAGCAAAAACAAAGACGTACTTCTCAAAAGAAGGAAAGAGCTATAGAGAGACTCAAGCACAGGGAGAGAGAGAGAAAAAGAGAGATAGAGCAGGAGAGATCACCAGTTACTGTTTTAACCACAAAGGCTGCAGGAGGGCCTAGCACGGCAGCCTCGTGGCTAAAGTCCTCACCTTGGACACACTGCTATCAAATATGAGCATCACTTCATGTCCTGACTGATCCACTTGCCTTCCAGCTTCCTGCTGGTGGCCTGGAGAAGCAGTTGAGGACAACCTCAATCCTTGCGGTGTTATAGCCAAAATGGGGACCAGGAAGAATTTGCTGACGTTAATTTTTAGATTGAAACATCTTGGCCTATTGTGGTCACTTGGGAGTGAATCAAAAGACAGACAGATTTCCTCTCTGTCTCTTATCCCCTTTGTATTTATGATTTGATATATATATATAATATATATATCATAACATAACATAATATAATATATTTATATATAATATCTTTTTATCTTTATCTATATATAGATATATATATAAATATATATAAATATATAAAGATATTATATTATGTTACGCTATGTTATATAATATCATATTATGTTATGTTATATAATATATTATATTATATCATATATGTACTGTTTACACTATTTTTTTTTAATCTGAATCTGTGAAGTCTATCTCTGGCTAAAACCAGGAGCTCATGTATTTCAGCAGTTTAACTGTTTTGTACTCATATCCTGGGTACATTAAAAGACCAGGGGATAGGATAAGGGGAACCCAGATCTCAATCTAGTCATTATATGCTTTAATATTATCATAGTAGTAACTTGAAACAATGTGACCTAATACTGACCCATTTTTTATTTCTTTGACTCCTGGGAAACTTTGATCTACATTTTTATTTAGTTATTTTAGCTTTTAAATACTTTGTGCACAAAAATATCCCAGAACATACATTTTACTTTTTTTTTCATTTTTCTTTATATTTTTCACAACGTATATAGTTAATTAGGGTAAAAAGGTTCAACAGCTATAGGAACTTGCGTAAGACTATGATTTGCACATTGTTTCCTTCATGTATTTGAGGTAACGGGCAATATTGAGGGAGAATCCTCACCCAGTTACCCCCTCCACCCCAGGTCCTTCATTTGAGGCAGTCTGAGATTCTCGCTCAAGTGGTTTTGATAGTGGATCAGTTCTGAAGCGCTGCCAGTCTCACCACTCCAAACACAATAAGGTTGTTGAAGAATCCACTGAATGACTTAGTCCATCATAGTCTCTGTTGGCCAGTAGTTTGCTGCCAAAATATAGCTGCATTGGTTGATTGATGTGTTCTGTCTTCTGTCTTGTCTTGGTTAGGGTTCTGAGTCTGGCATTTTGATTGTGGAGATTCACAAAGATAAGTTCAAGGTCTGAGGTGTTTACAGTCTAAATTCTTTTTTTAAAAGATTTATTTTTATTATTTTTTATTGGAAAGGCGGATATACAAAGAAGAGAGACAGAGAGGAAGATCTTCTGTCCTATGATTCACTCCCCAAGTGAGCACAACGGCCGATGCTAAGCCGATCCAAAGCCAGGAGCCTCTTCCGGGTCTCCCACGCGGGTGCATGGACCCAAAGCTTTGGGCCATCCTCGACTGCTTTCCCAAGCCAAAGGCAGGGAGCTGGAAGGGAAGCGGGGATGCCGGGATTAGAACCGGCGGCCATATGGGATCCTGGGCGTGCAAGGCGAGGACCTTAGCCACTTGCGCCACCGCGCCGGGCCCTACAATCTAAATTCTTGTATGTACTGGCAAGTACAGCGCCTGGCACATTCCATCGCCCTGATAGCTGGTGGTTGCAATTTCTGGGTTGCTTCTGTTTTCAGCCCTGACACCCACTGGACCAATGGATTTTGCAGTCCAGCCTGGTACTTTCGAGCAAATACTCAGCCTTCACATAAGCCAGTGTGGACTGCCCACTTCCTCACAGCAAACCCCTTTCCATTACCAATTGACAAATTAGCCATCTGTTAGAGCTATTTTGCCCAGCTTGTCTGACCTCCAGGTCTGGACCACATATTCACCAGTGAAAACTTTGACTTGCCAGGGGAGTTTCCCAATTTCCTCCAATTGATCCTCTCCCTGACCCAGTTCTCAAACATGCCACTGTGTTTTATTCCAGGACTTGGCAAATCTGGCTTTCCATTTGGCTTTGTATGGGCTGGTGAACATTACAAGGCAGAGCAGGTTATGGATATTACAATTTCCACAATGGTTTCCTTATATTAGAGATAACATATGTATTTGCTGTTTTGTGATTGACACATTTTATTGAGCATAATGGATTCTCTTTGGGACCACCTGGTTATCCATGGCATAAGTTTGTTCTTCTTAATAGATAATGTTATTCCATGGAAATAAGTAATACAGTTTCTTCAACCATTCTTCTATGGGAGCACATCTGGATTGTTTCCATGTCTTTGCTATTATAGACTGTGCTGCTGCAAATATAGGCTTAGAGATCCCCTTCGCATATGCAGATTTCTTTTCCTTACTTTTTTCATTTGTTTCCCTTAGTGCACAGAAGATGCTTTTCAGTTTGATCACATTCCATTTGTTAACTTTGGCTTTGATTGCCTGTGCTTTTGGTTACTTTTCTAAGAAATCTTTCCCTGTTGCTACATCTTCGAGTATGCTTCCTATGATTTTCTTGAAAAGTTTGATTGTTTCTGGGTGTAGATTTTAGTCATTGATCCATTTAGAGCCAAATTTTATAGTTGGACAGTTGTGTTTCTGGATTCTTACTTCTGCAGCTGCTATACAGTTATCCAAAGAGCACTTGCTGAATAGATCCAGATTTTGCTTGGATAGTTTCCAGCTTTTTTTTTGTCAAAGATTAGTTGACCCTACATGTGTGGACTCCATTCTGGTGTTTGTATTTACGTAGCTCAATTCCTAGGTATTGAAGATTCCACTCTTCTATGTTAAAACCTACTCTACTTAAAATTCCTTTCTCAGCCTTAGAATTGTTGGTGTACACCAGTGTCATTGACTTGTGCTCACTAATTCTTTATCCTGCTACTCTGCCAAAGTCTCTTCTGAGTTCCAATAGACTCTTGGATGAGTTTTTTGTTCTCCTAGGTAGAGAATCATGCAGTGTAAGAGTCGCGATAATTGCAGTTCCTCAGTTCAAATTTGGATTGTTTTAATTCTTTTCTGCTTGCCTCATGGCTCTGGCAAGGAATTCCAAAACTGTAGTGAAAGTCAGTGGTGACAGTGGGCATCCCTTTCTAGTTCCTGGTGTTACTGGGTAGGTTTTCAATCTTTCCCCATTTAGTATGATGCTGGTATATTGGGTTGTTCATGAATTGCTTTGATTGTATTGTGGAATGTTCCTTCTATGCCTGACTTCTTTGCATGTTGACAGGATCGTATGGTATTTATTTTTAATTTGTTGATCTGATGTATCACATTTCATGATTGGCTGATGCTTGATCATCCCTGCATCTCTGCAGTGCATGGATGTATCCCACCTGGTCCAGATGAATGCTCTGCCTGATGCGCTGTTGGATCTGGTTGGCTAGTATTTTGCTGAGGATCTTTGAATCTAGGTTCTTCAAGAATATCGGATTGTAGTTCTGTTTTTGCTTTGTTTCTCTGTGGCTTTGGTACTAAAGTGATATTGGCTTCATAGAAAGTGTTTGGAAGATCTGCATCGCTTTCTACTGCTTGGAAAATTTTCTGAAGGATTGGCGTAAATTCCTCTTGAAATGTGTGCTAGAATTCAGCAGTGAAGCCATCTGGTGTAGGACTTTCCTTGTTTGGGAGGGCTTTAATTGCTGATGTAAAATCATTGCTAATAATAGGCCCATTTAGATTAATTGCTTCTAGATTCAATTGTGGTGGATTGTATGTGTCCAAAGATCTATCCATCTCTTTTAGGTCATCTGATTTGCTGCAGATAGTTGCTTGTAATATTTCGTGATGGGCTAGTGGGGAGTCTGTTTTGTTAATTTTCTCAAAGAACCAGCTCTTCGATTCACTGACCTTATGTATAGATCTTTTATCTCTATTCCGTTTATTCCCTCCCTTGTTTTGATGATTTCCTTTTGCCTTCTAATCTTAGGAGTGCACTGCTGTTTTTTTTACCTTCTCCTTCAACTGCAGTGCTGGCCAATTTACTTCATGTTTTTCTAGTTTCTTGACATAAGCACTGATTGAAATGAACTTCTCCCTAGCACTGCCTTAATTTCCATTATGATTTCCTCTCTAACCCACTACTCATTTAGTAACATGAATTAGTCTCCATGTGTTTGCAAGTCTTCCTTGGTGTTTTGGATTTCTTGGTTTCTAGCTTCATTCAATGATGGTCTGAGAAGTTGCTTAGTATAATTTTAAGTTTTAAAATTTGTTGAAGCTTAATTTGTGGCCTATAAGATGGTCAGTTCTGTAGAAGATTCCAATGCTCTTATTTTAAAGGAAAAATGTATTCTCTGTCTGTATGATTAACTGCTTGATAGACGTAAACAAATTATTTATTTATTGTTATTTCTTTGCTTATTTTCTGTCTCTTTGATCTGTCCTTTGATGTGAATTGGGCATTAAGATCCCCCACTATGATCATATTTTTGTCTGTTTCTCCCATCAAAGCCATTAATATTTGTTTCACACAGCAGGATGCTTCGGCATTAGGCACATATACATTTATTATGATGATCTTCTTTCTGAATGGATCCTTGGATCATTATGTGGTGTCCATCTTCATCTCTTTGATGTTCTTTACATCAAAACCTATGTCATCTGATAAAAGAATGTTTAGTCCTGCACGTTTTTGCTTACAGTTCACTTGCAATTTCTCTTTCCATCACTTCAGTTTCCATTGCCTCTGATCTTTGTT